GTACCCGGAGGAAACCTACGCAGACACGGGGAGAACATGCAAACTCCACTCAGAAAGGCCCTGGTCCGGGATTCGAACCCAGGACCTTCTAAGTAAAGGGTTATCAGTTCTGTGCTTGATCCCCAAATCCATGCAAACATTTTTCCCAGGGTTTCCATGCTGTTGCGCAAATCTAAACAATTCAAGCGCACACAACAACATTAGTATTCCCAGGCAAGGGGCAGTCTGCTTTAGCTTACGGAACAATAGAAGTTCACCATAGACGATTAGCAGTGTGTGTGTTCCATGCCTCTCCGTGCTCACATTTACCCTGCCTGGTAATGGAGCATGGCTTAATTTCTTACACTGCTCTCTGTTTCTCCTTTTCTCCTAAAACCCCCCTTTTCCCCCCACTCTGCTCCCGGTCCAGCGCCGTCCAGCCTGCGAGCTCATCCATCAGGTATAATGATGGAGCTGGAGCCCTGTGTCAGAGGCCTCCCCGAAGCACTTCACACATTCACAGAGATGGAGTCTAAAGCTCACAGTGTTCTGTAGACGCTCAGTGTATTCACTGATGAATAGTGAAAGATCAACAAGCACTTGTGTCATTAATATTGTAGTTTGTGTTTGAAGTTGGTTCAAAGTCTGTCTTGCAATTCGGTACAATATATAGGGTTATATCATTCAGGTCCATCCCGGTGACAGTAGCTTATATCAATTGGGGCTTAACTTTGTATTGAGGTAGAAAGTACTTTTACCTGTCAATGTTAATTTTACTTGACTAAAATCTTAATTTCAGCACCTTTATAATTGTCTGGAAAGACTCAACTAATGTATTACGTTATTGAGAAACATTGGTTGCTGCTGGTTTACTGGTATTTACTGTAGACCAAAAAGGCATGTAGAATTGAAAGATCATATTTATAGACGAATGGCTTAGACTCCAGCAGTTACAACACATTTGATTTACAAGAGGGATTTAAAAAAACATTCAAAATTCCCCTATAATCTAGACCCTTGTAGTGAAAAATGCAAATGATGGGGAGGAGGAGGGTTGTGGCTCGAGTTGAGCTGTGTGCGTTAAAACACATTTTTCAATCATCTTGTGAGTTAAAGTGGTATAAGAGCTTTGTTTTTCTCTATAAGCAGTAAAAAGAGGAAACAATTATTTTTCTTTTCAAATTTAGCTGGTGCGGCTGGTATAGTCGAGCAAGTACTTCAAGATTTGTGAATGGAACATGATCTTTTATTTTATTGTGGGACAAATGCATTTTTTGCAATGACTTACCTTTTTCATAATTTTTACGAATTGAAAGTGTTACAATGTGTCAAAATGTTAAACAGGGAATTAACTCTCTTGATCTTGTTTCTTGTTTAGTTATTATTAAGCTAAATAAAAATCTACTCTTTAAAGATAAAGGTGACTGAAAATCACAATCACAAATTTGGTCAGTGCCAAAATGTTACAGCATGCACAGTTATGTTCATAACATTTCAAAACCAAATAATTCAAACAGAAAAGGCTCTGAAATGTTGTTGAAAAACGTTACATAGACGATACACATTTATTATGAGCAAATGGAGCCACTGTTCCAGTTGAACAAATCTGTTCAGTTTTCCAACAGACAGTGAAAGCCAAGCTTTGTATTCATAAAGTTCTTTTGATGAGTTTTGAATCAATAGCCTGTGACAAAACGAAGGCCAGGTGAATATGTGTAGTGTGCAAAGGAAGAAGCTTGCACATAAATAATATCCACATAAGTTGCCTGAACAAAGTTTTTTCTGTGATTCAATTGGATACAGGATTTATTTACATAACAGAATGATCAAATTACCAAATTCTGAAATAGGTGTTTAAAGGAGATATTTTATGTACACTATTTTTGAGGTTATAACCATATTTCAACATTATTCCCTCGTTAAAAACAGACCTGGAGTTCTACGCTAACATGAGCTCCTCTTCTGTCTCAATTACTGTCTCAGTCCTTGCTCTGAAGCTAAGTATGGCAGATCCTGGGGTCATTGTGAATAAGCCTCTTCAAGACTTTCAAGCTGTAAAGTTGTTAAAGTGGTTATGAATAAACCACTTTTGCACAAAAAAATCAGTCAATTATGTCATCCACTTGCAATTGCTCACTTGTGGTTGTTGCAGGAGCTGAAGAATACCATCTTTCATGTGTCACCTTCAATACCCTCAAGGATTATATGTTTCATAACAACAACCAAAAGAAACACAATTGGCTGTACGCACACACCACTTCCGTGTTTTAGTTATAACGACACTTGACTTCCGGTGCGTGGGGGTCGGCTTGAGTTTCACTGAAGTTCACCAGATGTTTATACATGTTTACCCAATTTTCCTAAATAATGCTCTAACAGGAATTAAACTGTGAGGATGCTGGACATTTATGGGACAAAGCAGTGCTCTTTGATTGTGCTGTCATTGTGATTTTATAAAGTTTACTAATCTTTCTGAGTGGCCTCAGTCAAAGCTATTCCTCAGAGAGACAGACACTTTTGGGTCAGTCTCACAGCTGAATGTATCAAATTACTAAAAAAAACGTCACTACAACTCACCTCAAAGCCATAGTGCTAGCACAGACAGGAAGTCAACGAGCCGTTCTTTGTTTACAGGAAATTATGTCACGCCTCCCCATGCATATAGCTCATTGTGAACGCACTTTCAAAACTCTTTCCTCCCACTTCCCTTGTACATTTGAAACCATCTTATGGTGCACTTTTTTCATTATTGTCCTCTTTGGCAATTTAACCATGAAGAAGGCTCACCAAACAAAACAAAAAAGGAGGCTAATTTCCAAAATGAAATTGATGCAGTACATTTCAATGTTTTATTGACACTCTTTCAGTTGGGGCTTCAGGCAAAGTGAGGTAAAGTGTCTTGCCCAAGGACACAGCAACAGCAGACATCAGTGCTATCCGGTGGAGAAGGTATTGTGGTCTCATGGCCTTCAGGCTCAAAGCCCAATGTTCTAACAACTGAGCCACTGTTGCCCCAGATTATCCAATAAAAAAGATAAATTAGAATCTCATGAGTCTCTCAATCCCTTCAACTGCTTTGGTGTCTACTTAACTTACCTACCTAACTTTAAAAAACACACTTCTCTTTCTGTCAGTCTTTCTGTCCGTCCATGTTTCTCTTTCTATAGATCAATCATGTTTTTTCCTCTCTTTTTTTGGAAAATGGGGAATGGATTTTCACTTGCTTCCGTGTTTCCTTGTTTATTTCATTCACAAACAAAAAACTAAGCCGTCCTCAAACAAGACACAATTGTTTTATAAATAGCCAACACAATTTTTGCAATTTAAGTCAAAATTTAGTGAACATTCTTTTACTTGCCTTCTACAGCCCTACAAAATACGCGGTAATATCAAAATATCTTGTAACACAGAGTTGGAGCACTGCCACTTTATTTCAAAACTAATTATTCCAGTATTCCGGTTAACAAGCGGCAGTATTGTTAGCGCTGAGTGGAGCGTAACTTGTGGCGGATTTTCGCAGCTACTCTTTTGAATCTGGGACAACGCTTTTTATCCCCCCCTCACTTTCTGCAGCAATTTCCGTCTCCTCCTTTTTGCAGGGCGCGTTTCAATGGCTCCGGTGCTAGCTTTGAGTTAGCGCTGCTGCCATATTTGACTCAAGACACAGCTATTGTTCAGAAGTGCACCTTGTGATCCCCTCCACTCGACGCCCACATAGCACTGCTCTGATAAATACTGCATGGCTTTTCTGTATTTTTACCCCTGGCCTTGTTTTCTAAGGTGATTTCTGTTCTCCTGGGTTTGTCCGCATTCATTCCTCTGTGTTAAAGCTGTGGGGGGGAAAAGTACGTTCAAGTATATTCATATTGATCACTAACGCAGGTGTTGAAAGCTTTGAGCAAGTTTATTTGTATGGCACAGTTTATACACAAGGCAAGAAAATAAATATAAATCAGACAAGACATTAAAAGGCCTAAATAATCACAGTACATCAAAAAGCGAAGATACAATGCTTAGCTAAACAGGACTGTTTTCATTCTGGATTGTCAGAGTAGATAGATAGATAGATAGATGGGAGAAATTCAGGTGTCCAGTAGCATAAAGCACAAAAATAAAAAATTAAATTCATCATTCTAAAAAGCTAACAATAGTAATAATAAGCAATAGCACTTTAGGTCACAGCATCAGAGATGGAGTAGCCTCTTGGTTTGGACCATTTTCTCTGCTCTATAGTCGAAAGTAAAATAATAAATGCTTCATTTGCATTTTTCATAAAGTTAGCATTCCTCCAGTGGATTTTCACCTTATCTGCTTGTTTCAGACCATGAATCCTCTCCGCTCCGTTCTGGACCAGTGCAAAACCATGAACACTGTACTGCAGCAACATCTCAAGTAGAAATAAACAATGAAAATAAAAATTGTAAAGCACAAAACAACAACTGTTTCAGAGCTACTTAGGAATTGCTGCCCCATCTGCTACGACCGCCCTCAGGCCCAACAGCAAGTGAGCTCCTCGTCCAACTGCTGCTACCAGGTACTGACCACAGGCTGACAGGTACTGACCCTCAGGCTGACCAGGTACTGCCACAGACTGACCAGGTACTGAACCTCAACTGACCATACTGACCTCAGACTGACCATACTGACCAGTACTGACCGCGAACTACCATACTGGACCTCAGACTGACCAGCACTGACCACAGACTTCCTGTGTGTTCTTGCAAAGATTGCCCTTTATTTTTTCTGAAACATTTTCTGTGTTTTCATGAAGTTTCTGATTGCTTATTTTCGTAGAAATTTTGTTTCACAATGTGGAATTATTAACTATTAACTATTTCATATTTTGCCTATCGGACTCATAAATATAATTCATGGTCTTGTTAGCATGGGTGTGACAGAATTCTGTGCAGACAGCTGACCTGTCCATCTGTCACAACGCGACACCGCACCTTCTTCGACTCTCTGTTCTGGGCGTCCAGCGCGCCCCGCAAGCCTAATGCACCTGTCCCGCTGTGCCCTAGGACCGCTCGTCCAGGGGAGGGGGCTGTGAGAGGGGTCCAGAGTCTGCCTCTGCCCCCCTCCTCTGTCAGGCGTATTCCTGCTACAGCCACAGGGACTGCTCGACTGACCGCGACCGGGACGACGCTGGACCCGAAGTTTACCTCACTGCACTTGAGTACTCTTCTTCTTCGTGGTTTTTTTTTCGGGCGGGTGGCGACCAATTTTTTTGCGCATTACCGCCACCTTCTGTTCCGAGGATGGTCAGTAGGCTCACACTCTACCTGTTGTACAAAATATACTCTGAACAGAGGTGACAATAAATGACCATTTTGAACGATGGTCCTAATTCTCTTCCCTAAGCAAAAGACCTGGTCTCCCGTCCTCTAGTAGTCCAAAGGGCAGAATATGAGTTTAATGATATTAATCTGGGGGGGGGCCAAGATCTGATTCTGCTAATGCTTTCCGTTGTTTGGAGATGGAGATGGACCAAAGAATCTGGAGCGACAGCCTTGAGAGTCTCCTGTCTGATCTCAAGGAAGTAATATTTCTATAGAATTAGGAGGGGTAGGGTGTGAATGATTTCTGTTTATCGTGGCGGAGACGGAGGAGGCCAGATTGCCGTGAGGCGGAGCTCAGACCGAAGCTGCCTGATACGACACGCCCCCTTCTTCTGACCTCTCCTGATATGCTCTGGCTGAGGGAGGCTGCGAGGCAGCACAGGGCCAGAGAGGGACATGGAAAGTTATAGGAGCTCTTTGTTGAAGATATCTGTTGTAACGCTTAAAAATTAAATACAATGTTAAACGGATATCTTTCGTCTGTTTTTTCGTATCATTCTTTGACAGTCGGTCCAAATCTTTTTTTGACAACAAATGGTGACCCCCGACGTTGATTGATACAGAAAGAAGACGCAGATGAGCTCAAATAGATACGGTCCGTGGGCCTGGAAATTCTCTCTCTCTCGTAAAAGTTGCTTCAAAAAGGTAAGCAATCATACTTTTGAAAATCGCACATTGTTTTAATGGTAGAGAGGGAGAATTCGGCCCACAGACTGCAGTGGGGACAGACCGCCGTGTTGGGTCGTTTATCGTACGCGATAAAACAATAGTCAGGTATTAGACGTTTTGACCATCGAGGAAGATTTTGTCCCCCTCTAAAGAAAACAAACGGAAGAGAAAGTCCACAGTTTAGAGTGCAAAAGAGCTCACCGTTTTAAAGTGCAGAGAGCACAAGTGTTTAGTGAAAAATAGAATTAGAAAATAGGACAGCTTTAGGGTCAGAAGTAAAATAGGATAATCAAACCTCCATATCCCCCGGGGGCGGGAAAAAGGTACATTAAACAGAAAAAACCAAGTTTAAAATGTGATTCTGTATAAAGAATAATAAGATCTGATTAATGAGGAAATAAAAAAGGAGCCACTTGGCTGTAGTATACGGTTTCTTGTGAAGAAATGACAAAAGACAGTTCTGGGAGTTTTTCCTCTTATCTGATGTAATGTTTGAATAGTTTTACAGAGAACAAAAAAAAAAAAAGATTCTGCTGGAACTCGCGAACTTAATCAGGTAGCGACAAATGTAAGTTTTCATTTACTGACTATTTAAAATAAATTTACAGTGTCGTTTGACGTGAGAAAAACTTTTAGCCACTGAATTAGACCTTGTACACATAAAAACGAGGAAATGTAATCAAAAGGGGGTGTATTTCAATCGCCATGTTTTCCTTTGTTCCGAGAGGCCACTCAGCCCCTCCCTTTTTCTGACTGCTCTCTACTCTCTCTCTCTCTCATCGTGAAGACAGAACTACTTACCAATATTTTTTGTAAAAATTACATTTATACACACGATAATATGTTACTGACAGTGGAGTCAATATGATCACAGAACTTTGAGTTATTATTATTAAAGAGGCATTATTTATTTTTATCTCCGAGTGTAGGAATATTAAACTCCAAACCAGCTAACTAAAATCAGTTTAGTATTGTTTCTGTTGCTAAAATTAATACTTAAACAACTTAAACGTCAGAAATGATTAGGTTTATACAGCACTTGTTTGGGTAAATCTCAAAGAGCAGTTAAGTCAAGGTTTAGTCTGTGTGAGAAAGGAGGAAAACAAGTGTCTGTTATCAGGAGCAGTGCAGGGCCTTTGGCAGCTGGCAGAAGGAGTCCATAGGGGTCCATACAGTTTGTGATGTCAGTGGACCTTGTATTAAAATGTATAAGAAGGTACGGGCCATAGGAGCGGTCCACGGGGCTTTTCTTTTTCGTCTGACCAGAAGCAGAAGAGACCCCAGGCCACTCCTTATCTGAACGCGAAGCGAGACTTGTTTCGCAGACCGTTAATATTTTAATATTGCTTGCAAATCTTCAATATAACCGTGAAATCAGTTTGGTATCGGTCATTTCTATTTACTGTTTTAACATTGGTTTTTGGTCTCTTGTTGAACTAAAAGGACCTGCAGAACAAACGGGCTGGCTACTGCGGCGTGTCTCAGCTTCTGGGCAGTGGAATCAGACAAATTACTGCAAGGCGTCTGGACAAGTTATTAAACAGTTTTTCCCTACTTTTTGGTGATATAAAAGTTAGATTGATCTTAGAGAACATTATACTTTTTGAGAAAAGAGGGCTTATGATAGCAGTGAATGCAATTCGTTTTCAGAATTTAATGTTTAAAATTTTAATCAGTAATTATGCCATAGTTATTTAATTTGTAATTAAATCATTGGTTTTGTAATATAAAAACACTTGTTGTGTTTCTTTGTTTGTCTGTTTTTTTTCGAGAAAAACTTCTGTCTGTTCATTTGGCCAAAAAACACTGCCATCAAGACCTCAATCGAGCGGCATCAGCACGAACCACAAGCGTCTTCCCCCGATCAGCAACAGCAGCATCGGCTTGCAGCAGCGAACAGAACTCGGAAGAAGACTTCGCACGCCATGGAAGGAGAGGAACCGGACTTTTGCACAAACCGAGTGGAGTTAATGTCACGAAGAGGAACGGTGTGAACCGAGCAGAAGAGCACGACAACACATTTTGGGCGTCAAAATGAGACAAAGAAGACAGAAAGAAAAAGATAGAAAGAAGAAAAAAGATTGAAAAGAAGGAGAAAGAAATATGAGAAAAAAGTATCGAAGATAACAGAAAGTATTGATTGAACGAAGAAGAAAAAAGACATGAGACAAAACACATTGACACTATTGAACAAAGACTATTGAAAGACGCATAAGAGAGACTGAGGCTTAATGAAACAGACAGAAGGTAATATACAGACAGGCAACAGCGCACCAAGACATAAGGACATTTAGGTCATATTTACACATTTAGGTCATTCGTTCATAACACTACATTAACTGCATGAATTGATTACAAGACAATCGTCAAATTATTAGACTCTTACTTTAAATGAACACAAGAGATAAACAGCAGTATATTTGTTAGAATACCATTTTATATTAGAAGAGAACTACTAAAGGTTTCAAAATCAGTTGTTGTTTTTTTTGTCTGATCCCCCCAAATCGAAATAACCCCATAGCAACGCCCTTAGAAACGAAAAAACTTCACAGCCCTTGGTGACGTCAGAACGGGTACGTTTCAACGCTGTAAGTTGTTTACAATTTGGTATTCGTTCTTTTTTCGCGGATATTCAAGATGACAAGGCCGTGTACAGCGAGTCTACGATAACTACTAGAATGTATTATTTCGTTGTCACTGAGATAGTCAGTGGTTGTGTCGATGGACTGCCAATCCAGAGACTTGGGTTCAAATCTCATCTTGGACAATTTTTCACACTCAAAATGGCACTTTATGTGTAGTGAGCAATTGTCACCTGTAGAGGGCAGTATTGTGTTGGGCATCAGTGGAGAGAAGAGAGAAAAGGCAGTCCTGTGGCATAGATCCATGGTTTTCAATGCATGGGCGTAACCCGCTATGACGTCACACACAGGTTAGAGCATAGACAACTTAAATTCATGAAAAACACGTTCTTTTTATAAAATATAGGATTTTTTTTGCCGGAATCTCTTTCAAATTGACATTGTCATGCAATTTTGATATCCACTATTTTTTTTTTTAAAACCCGTCATAAGGTCTTTAAGTTTGTAGATTTAAAATTGTACAAATTGAACAAATTGTACATTTATTATTAGGTAAACTTCATTGCCTTTAAAGACCAATCTTTTTTAGTGCTGGTCATTAAGCATGACCCCTTATATGAGTCAAGTTAAAGCTATATTTTATAATGATTATAAATTGTAGTTGAAATACATCACTTATTTTAATGAGTCAGCGCTTCAAAGACCCTGAAACTACAAAGCCTTGTGAGTCACATTTTGATGCTGAAAACACATTTTCCAAAGCTGATTTAGAGCTGTAACGGAATCATTTTGTCTGAATGAGGAACTCGTTAAATTGATGTATTGCATAATATTAGGTACCCTAGCTTTAACATGTTGACTGATTATACACATATTTTGAGGTTAGTATCTATGAGCCACTGTGGCCATAACATGTATCGTTTCACTGTCTAATTGTGTAGGTCAAAAGTAGCTGCATGCACAGAAGCAGAGATATTTCTTTCTAAACTAAGAACTTGAGACCTCAATAACTGCTGGGTTTTTTTTTGCATTCGCCTGACTAAACCCCAAGTGCTCAAAAGTTCTAGCTGAAAAATTGCCCCAGATGTAACCTGCGTTATCTGGGGAGCTACGCAAAAATACACAACAGCGTTCTTGTCCTGGGAGTAGAGCCCTCGGGGTGCACCCACCAAAGCACCCGTGGGTGTCATCCATCACCGAGAGCGAGAGGGTCCCTATAGAGCAGCAGCATTCGGTCATAGCGACAGACAAGACAATACATTTAAAACAAGTGAGGAGCATATGTACAGTATGTGCTGGGAAGGAAACAAAAACAGATGCAGAATGGGCTATTTTTTACTTTTACACATTTACTGTATCTATCTATCTTTCTGTGTATCTCTCACTGAGGAAATGCATATTGATCATCATGTGCACAGCGATAATCAATTTGCATTGTTATTATTATTACTATTATTAAAATATTATGGTCCAATGTGACAGAGTAGTAGGCTTATAATCATTAGTCCTTTTCAAAACAGTTGATCACACATTAGGACAGCAGTTTTGCTTCACTAATACAGGTGAAACTGTTATGATCAGAAGGACAAAACATATTTGTGACTCAGAGACGGTTTGTTTCTTTAACTTGAACTCTCACATTTTTTACTAAAGCCAAAACCCAAACACAAAAAACCCTAAAGTAACAATTCAAAGGGGTGAACCTGGTGAGTAAGCCAAAAAGGGTCAACACCAGATGAATAGGGCCGCCCGGATCCGATGCCGACTCTCTAACTAAAGCTTAAATAAAACCCAAATAGCTACTCCCACAGAAGCAAAAAATTAACCACTGCACCCACCAGGTCAAACAAAAAATATGGTCGGAACAATGGTAACCAAACTCTATTAGGATCTGTTATGATCATAACAAAAAACTTCACATTTCTGGATTACATCCATACTGTACCATATCTTGGAAATTACAAGTGGATATTGTTTTTCCATGGATATTTACAGAATTAATGAGCCATAGCAAGCATGGATTACTTCAACTTAAAGATGCAGCAAAGATAAACAGGTAAGAAATGTGAATATTTGATTTAGTGCCCATATTATGTTTTATATCTTTTCAGTGTAAAGTGTGGTATTGCTTGCACTTGCACAAAAGGATATGCAGCTTGTGGGTTTTGAAGACCAAAATAAATTTGCTATGGCAAGCAAAACACTAACAAATCGAAAACGGCGCACCCGCGTTCTTAAGTATTTATATAAGAATTCAGTCTGAAAAATATAATAGCAGAAGACATGGAGCTAAACAAATATTGTAGTTACGTTATTGTTGTGCTATATAACAATAAATACCTGTTTTCCTCCATTGCAGGATGGTCACACCATGCACCGGGGACTAGTGAAGACCCGCCACGCCGTTGCACAAACACATAGGCTCTAAATATTAAGCAATGTTTGTCGGAGCGAGATGCAGACGTGTCACAGCTCTTTGACCTTTCTGTATAAAATATTGTCAAAATGTCATCTGCAGCTGTCGGCTTCTGCACGCGCTCAGTGGAGTCTGCGCTTTCACCTGCAGATCTCACTCTCACATTTCTCCTCTAAAGTCTAGAGAAGCTTGCTGATGCATTTATATACGAGCGTTGAATAAACACTGTTGAAAAATATTAGCCGCGTAAAGCGCATTTTGAGGGCTTGTTTTGCGCGCCGCCGTGCAGGCAAAGGCGAGCGTCAAAATGACATGTACTTTTGTTATGCAAGCGGCTTTGGAGGTGCAAAGTGGCTGAACTGAGTGAGAGGCAGAATCCAAATAGCACAATGTTAGTTACTGAGAACAATACGGCTCATAATATTTGTTTGATGATATGATAGCACAGACAAGGGTTTAGGACTTTGGAGGCCACAGGTGAATCCTTTGTGAAGAAAACTACAGAAAAACGGTTCAAACATTTAAGAAATAGTTAAAACCTGTAAATAAAATATCAAAACGTTATCTAGAGCGGGAAGTGGAAACAAAGTGATACACACAATTTTTTGAAGATAAAGAGAGGAAACATAATGGCTATATTTACAGTCTTTGCTTTAGGAAAGTTTGCAGTCAATCGCTTCATGGATATGTTTCTGTTTTTGTTTTGGTGGAGTTTGCATGTTTTTGTAGGTTTCCTCCAGCTTCCCCGCTCTCTCCTTACACTAAAAACATGTACGAGAGCACAGGGTGAGCTGCGTGTGTGTGTCTGTGTGTTTGCGTTTGTATTTGTGGGTCAGCGGATTTGCCCAAGGCCACTATCTGTGTATTTATATCACCTGCTGTTCATTACAGTCACATTCCAATAAAGCCCAACAGTGACCATTTAATAGATTAAGATGATCCAGATTATAACTTCTAAGTTACATATTTTACTATCATTTTATTATACAATTGTTGAAAGCTGAGTAATTATTTTACTCTATAATGTATGTTTTATCTTTCAAAAACTTCAAATATAATTGTTTAAATGGTAAATAAATATTTTACTGTAGACATTTGTTTTTAATCAAACAGCAATTGAAAAAATATGAAATAACATTTTCACCATTGACTAATTTATTGTTTAAATCTAAAACGTATATGTCCGTCCATCCATTGTTTTCCCCTTAATCCGTTTCTGGATCGGGGGGCAATCAGCTTCCACTCAATTCACAGAGTACCACCCCCTCTCTGATCCTCCTGCAGGTGGTGAGTCCACAGCAGAATGGCTTCTCTGTCAGTGAGAGCACGGCCTTGATCTTTCAGCGGGGGCTTCTGGCAAAGTGAGGTTAAGTGTTTTGCCCAAGGACACAACGGCAGCAGACATCAGTTGGAGTCTCGTGGTGGGGTCGAGCCTGTGACTTTCAGGCTCAAAGGCCAATGCTCGACCAACTGAGCCACTGTCGCCAAATTGAAGCAGATCAATGTTAAATGAAAAACAATCGTGTAGTTTGTCTTAAGAGCGATTTCTTTCAGTGTATATAGATCCTAGGACATAACATAAATCTCTTAGGCTTATTAGAAGCCTAAGAGCCTAAATTAGAAGCCTAACATAGAGTTGTTCAAATGTTTAAAATATTGACTATTAAACTACACATTTAGGAACAATGTTAACAATCTGCGACTTAAAGAACAAAACTGTGCCTCTTGGAGGAAGTCTGCGCCCCGACCATGCTTTTCTAGTTGTAAATTAAACGAGACTATCCAAACAAGTATTTATACAGTGTCTTAATGTGAGTGAATGGGAGCACAGTACAGTAAATGAACAAGTCCCTTTTGCCGCATTATCTCCAATCATCTAATTTATGTGAAATTGAAGATGTGTAATTAAGGCGATTTAGATGTATTTAGAAAGCTGGAACTCGACATAAATCACGGCTTGTAGTCATATTTCTCAGCTATAATAAAGTCCTATGGAAATGTGCTTATTAATATGCAAATGGTGACTCTGGGGTCCGTGGTGAGTTGAACCCGTAGGAGCACATATGTCCAGTGTGTAGGTGATATATGGCCGCTTCTGTGGAGAAAGAGCTGACTGGAGGTTTTTCATGAAAAGACATTTGTGCACCATACGTCTTTATTCACTGTAATAGAGGCGAGGAACAAAATTGCACTAGTGCCACTGAACACATTCTTAATGGATGTATATTATGCAAAAAAGAAAGATGATGAGCTTTTAGTCATGTAATGGTATTCCAGCTTTCCTGGTATGGAGTTTAATCAACACCAAAAAGCACTCAAAGACTATTGTCGCTAAAAGTACGGTTAAAACCTGGATCATCATACAAGTCAACAGGATGATGTTGTTTTGGTCTTATTAGATAATACTGAAATAAATCATAACCAATATTTCGGACCCATATTTCTGATGGGTCCTGGACAGGTTGAATTGGGAATGTCTATTGATTGATACAATATTTACAATCCTCCCTTAAGAGCAGCATCGGATATCTGAAATCCTCTTATTTTTTATAAGCTGTAACTTTTTGTGAATGTATTGCTGGTTTCACAAAGGAAATTAATGTATTTCTAGGGTGAAGTCCTGGACGTACGGTACGGCACTGTGGAGGACCTGAGGAGGGTCAAACAGAGTATGAATTCAACCAAACCAATTGCTGTGATGAAGTTAGGCCGTGCTCCTCTGCTCTATAAGGTAAGAAGAGGCTAAAATACCTCCCAACAACACATCATCAGTAGGGTAAAACTAACCTGTCTTCCCCTACTGATGATGATTACAATACCTCCTCTGGACTAATAACAGCGATGCACACAAGCCAACCAGTTTTTCCCTGACTTTAGATAAAGGCAACTGTCATGCTATCGGTTTGCAAATGTTTTTGTATGATGTTTTTGGAGTATGTTTTTGTATAATGTTTTGGCTCCACACCAACCTGTGCCCAGGTGCACACAGTCTATGGTGCACACACACCTCTTCTGTCTCGTTTATTCTTTGGGTCATGTAGTCAATCTGCTCTCGTTTCATACAGTATCTGTACATTTTGAGCAACTGAATCGCATAAGTATTTCTTTGTTTGCGTCTCACTCGTGGAATGACTTGGAAGCGCCTGGCCTCCGCTGTTGCTGTGGTGCAGGGGACTGTCTTCTTCCCCACTTTGGAAATGTGCCAAACACCAGCGTAAAGTCTAGCTCCAGACAGTTGTCTTCCTTCCTTTCCCGCTGAGGTTCACTTACAATGCCAACTTGTCAACGTCACACGCACAAACTCGCAAAACAAGACTAAAGTGTACTCGACTGGGTAGTTCAACTCGACTAGGTAGTTCAACTCCTAGTGAACAGTTTGAGGTTTACAGCTGGGAGAGGTCTGGGGACAGCCTGCAGTTTACACAGGTCTGCATTCAGGGATGGGTCTAAGGCCAAATTGCACCTGAACCATAAAGATCCAGTCAGAATATAGTCCCATTGGACACTAATCTGGCAGCATCGCAGAGAGGATCATTAACAAGACAAGAAAAAAATATGTTGTTAAAAATAAAAAAAATAAAAAAGGTCAACATTGAATACGGCTTATGAATTCCTATGGCATTTCAGCTGCATTTTGATGAATGCTTTCCAGAAATAGTTCGAGTGAATGATTCAGTGATTTCTGCCGCAGCTGTTTCCTTGTGCTATTAGCCCGTTCATATGAGCTTAGTGATAAATAGCGCGCTAATGAGCCTGAACAGGCGCAAATGGAGGTGAAGGCGGAGAGACGCGGGGTCAGAATACACTGCTTATATTAACACGCTCCGCTCTTAAAAACCCATTAAGTTAAGGAAGCATCAAGCTCACCAGGGAGGCCCCAAGCAACAGGCCGGGGCCCCATTTCCACCTCCAGCCCACAGTTTGGAAGAATGGGAAAACACATGCATCATATAGTGTCTGTGAGGGAAGTGACAGCGCTGCGCATGAGAGAGAGTGATGGATGACGAGTCTGGTTTCCTTTTAAAGAGGAGGCAGCCATCAAAGTTATTGACATGTAATATTGAAGGGTATGAATAAAAGAAGTTGACCAATTTATATGGTAAGTTTAGCGGCAGCAACACTTTAGTTGCCGCAATAATTGTGTACAAAGTCAGGTTTTGTTTAGTACTGCTCTATAGAATCACTTATAGACGCTATATATTATATTGCAATACATTAAAGAATGTTATCATGGCTACTATGGCAAGAAATAACTAATTTTAAAGCATATTTTCTTCCTTTTTACATATTTTTATGTATTAAGATTAAGTTAAAGCAAAACGAATCAAAGGCATATCAGTCTACAATATTAAGCCTTCTTCAACAAACAGTAACTGATTGTGTTAATTATAAATACCCGACAATAATCCTACTACTTTTTAGCTTGTTTTATTTTATATATTTGAGCTGCTGAATTGCACAATTGTGAGATTGTATCGTATCATGTCTGGTGCACACTGTGGGACTTGGAATACACATGTATTCCAATGTGGTTTTACTACAAATGACAAAAATTAATCTGGATATGAAAACTATTATTCCTTACAGAGATCCCACATGCACAAGTTGAGTCATGTGTTGAAGTAAAATATACTTTAAAATGATGGGCTATTTTCCAGTCTCAACAGGAAAAGCTCTTAAATTGGTCTACTAGGTTAATGTTAAATAAATCGTTCAAACTCATCCTGTGCGGAAAGACAACCTATGGCACATTGTTTAACCATTCATTTCTATCGCCTGTTCATAAATCTCAATTGACGACAACATGTTATATGTTTTAATCCGATATCATTAATCTTCTTCCCACAGGCTTCCTATTTTTATGAGTCTGTTTATGAAGATGCGTGGACACAGATGATCAAGAGATTAATTGTCTTTTTCTAAGATTATAGTACAGAGCTAGACAAGATAGAACTCATGAATGCTAAATCTGATGGGTGCATTTGTCAAGTTGAGATCTGTCCTTTGTTTATACTCTTCAGCAGATTCTATAACATAGTCTATAGTCTATTCTTTCAAGTCCTTCATTGAGGTGAATTTGAATACATTTCAACTAAATATGATCTTTCTATTGGCTACCATGGGTTTAGTTTTGTTAGTTTTAGGGTGAGCAACCTAATAATAATGCATACATTTATTATAGAGCTTTTTCTGTACATTCAAAGATGCTTCACATGACATTATCCATTCACTTAATGCATGATGGTAATGAACCTCTACTGTAGCCACAGCTGCACTGGGGCAGATCAGCAGAAGCAAGGCTACCAGTAGTAGCCATTAGCCCTTCAGACCACCACCAATCATTCAAGCACACCCCATTCTCATTCTCGACTATGCGGGTGAAGTGAAGGACACCTGGTCAAGAATGAAAATCAAAATATAATATTGCATACCACCAGTGATGGGAATAACGGCGTTACTTTTTTCAGTAACGAGTAATCTAACTAATTACTTTGACTGTAACTATAACGCCGTTATCATTTCCGACATCCCGTTACTGCGCGTTACTCAAGACGCACAGTGAACTTCTCTTTTTACTTCGTGATAGGACTCGTGCGCGTGTTGTCATGAGAGAAGGGAGGATGAGAAAACCTCTCAGAAATTATTGGCTGATGTAAAACATATTTCCTTTACAATCTACATGTCTACAGTTGAGAGGATAGCTAATAAATTGTATTTTTTAAACAAATGAAACAAATTAATCACACTCTACCACGGCTTGTATCACAGTGAGGCCTCAGAGGAGCTCATGTGAGCGCAGAAGTCGGCTGCATACAATTCCATCGATAAGCTCCTTTCTCCTCCTGGTTTATCTTCTAAGGACATCAACAGGTTTGGCTAACATACATATAACACATTTTAAGATAATTTAAAATGCACTTAGGGTAATTTTTCAATGACTATAGGAATGATAAGAAAGAGAGGTGAAGTGTAAGACGGTTGATTTTAGAAATCGGATGCACCCGGCTTCAGCTAGCAAAACAGAGGAGTTTACGGAGGACACACGCGTTTTGTTTTGCTTTTTAAAACTCATTGGACTCATTTCCAAATGGAGGATTATATATCTACGCTCAAACTATTATCTGGACTTAAACACAGAACTGGTCTGAACCGAAGTGGACTGTGCAGGTCATTTATAAGGTAAGACACATAACTCTTAGTTTTGCGTTTTGTATGAACAAACAATGCGGGCATGAAACGTATTCTGCTGTAGCCAAACAAATAAGCCGCTCTCTAGGTCCAGTTGATTTATATGATATATATGTTCATCTGATTGGGCTGAAGTCAGTGCTTCGCCGGTGTTTCCACATTCACAGTGGAGCGTGTTGGTGTTTAGTGCTTACAGCACAGAGACAGATGAAGAGTGAACAGGACTTCAGCAGAAAAACAGCCTTTTCTAGATGGAAATATTGGCAATATTTCAGACTCACTGAGGTAAAGGTAAAAATGCGCACGTCGAGTGCACATTATGTTCCAGAACAAAACGAAAAAGTAACGCAATAGTTACTTTTACTGGTAACTAGTTACTTTTATAGTGGAGTAACTCCGTTAGTAACTCAGTTACTTTTTGGGAGAAGTAACTAGTAACTATAACTAATTACTTTTTCAAAGTAACGTGCCCAACACTGCATACCACTACTCATGCTTCTATTATTACTCCTCCACTTTATTTTTATAGCACTTTTTATGAACAAAATTGACACCCGGAGACGCTTCGGGTGTTGTTATTCATTCACTTCATACACTGTGGCTACAAACACATATGAAGCAGTGCCTTTTTTGGGTCTGACGTGAAAGTGACAAATCAAGCCAGAACCTATAATATTGAGATGTTTAAATGTTCAAATATATAATATTGACCCATGGATGCCAAGTCTTTTGACATGTGTTCTTCATGTGGAACACTCTGCAGTTATCACATAATCCATCCTTTTTTTTCTATTTCCCCAGGTCTACACTCTTTTTTTAGTCCGTCTCCATTGATGCATGTAGGTTATGATCGCAGACATTACCTGCAGCCAAGCATCACTGCACGATGAAAAGCCCCGGAGATCTGTCTCTATATTTGTCCACAGAATTAGATTTGAAATACTTTTGAGTCATAGCTTATCTCAAAGACCAACTGGGTGCAGCATTTAACACCCGTAAAATGAAGCCAAAGGACCTAGAAAAGCAAATAAATTATCAAATGTATCTGAAATAATTGGACTCCCCATGTAGTTGAATAATACTTGTTGTGCTTCGGTAAAGATTAGCAATTTTACAAAGAGATCAATAACTTTTTTGTTTTTTGTCAAAACCAGATATGCACTGTTGTTTGCCCAGTGTGACTGCACTGGTTCCTTTTAGTAGACTAACGCCATCCTTGCGTATTATTAGGATGAGGGGGAATGAACGGCAAAGTGAGGACAAGTTAAAAATGAATTGGAAAAAAAAATATATATATAAGTATATGTTTTTCTTCTTTTTACGGTCTGAGGAGGCCTAGTTTAAAGGACAGCTGTGACGAGGAGTGACCGCCACTGTTACAGATTCAGTCAATAATGTATTTGGAGCAGTTGTTCAGGCTCAGACAGGGGTCATAGCTTCTTCTTGGCTAGAAATATCACATAGCATGGTGTGTTACTATAGAGATTGGAAAGAGGGAAAATGTTTTTACTCTCCACGGTTAAAAATTCTCGTTTGCTGTTTTAACCCTATCAATTTTTCTGTGTCAGCCCCAAATATTCTCCAAGCCATGCACAGTGTTAACAGCATAACGCATGTACATTATAAAGCGTTCAATCAACACCAATACACGTGTAATATCGTGTATCATGTATTAAACTCATTAGACCAAATTAATTATGGGCCATTTTATTTATTTTCACAACCTATGATCAACCTTTGTGTATCATCATACCATCATATTATACCTACATACTAAGTCTATTACATAGATTGTCATATATTGTAGATTTTATTGTATGTAACATGTTATTCAAAAACATCCCAACACTGCTCATAAACAGATTGTAAATTACATAGTGAGAAATTTAATTGCTAGTGTTATTAATCATCATCATTAATCATTGTATTCCCTAATGAAATCCATAATGAACTGCTGCGACACCATGTTATACTATATGCAAATATCCCCAAATGTGTTTGAATACAAACCCATGATTTTTGCACTATAAATAAAGGTGATTGTGTCCTTCTGCGTACAGCTTTCCCTCCTCGCTGAGCTGGGCTTCGGGGGAGCGCTGCTGTACGTGGACCCCTGCGATGCTCCGCAGGGTCAGAACATGTGGAGCCAGGCCTTCAGCGTGACGCTCAACCCAGGAGGAAATCCAGCACGCGGTCAGTCCTACTCCACACACTCCCAGTGTCTTTATCCCACAGCCCATGTATGTGTTTTTTTAATTATTCTCTGCCATTCAATTCATCCATCCATTTTCTTCCCTTTAATCCACTTCTGTGTCAGGGAAGGTGGCAGTCAGAGTCACAAACATAAAAAAATAAAAAAAATGCTGTGAATATACAATTGATAGCCATTTTAGTGTTTTAGCGTAGCATACTCGGGCATCATAAATCAGTTTATTAATGGGTGCTACTTATTGGGTTTAAAACTTGAAATAATATACACTTCCAAATACCACATTCCATGGCTATAGTTGGGAACCATTTGTGTTGGTCAAAAAGCGTTGCCTATTTATTATTTAATAACCTTTATTTAACCAGGAAAGTCCCATTGAGATTTCAGAATCTTTTATTTCAGGAGACAGAGCAGGGCAGAGCAGTGGGGTCAGGGGGGGTGTTATGGGGGACTTTTACACCAACACAGACACAGGGACAACTCCACACAGAAAGGTCTGGAGGTGAAAACCAACCCTGGACCTTCTTGCTGTGAAGTCCAAGCACTAACCTCTGCGGAACCGTTCCACCCAAGCCCCGGTGATCCAAGATGGCGCCCTATTCAAATAAATGGCTTGTGCTCAGTAGCGCATGGGACTTCACGGGGACCGGGAGATTAGCAGAACTCGCCTATATTTGTGCATCGTCTGTTCCTCCCGGTTCTGCGCAGTGGACGAGCTCCCATGATGCGTTGCGCCATATACGTGTGTGTGGCTCTCATGCATGTACACAGAGGGGCTCGGCCGCGCTCTGACCAATCAGCGCTGCTGATCAGAACGGCGGTAGAGCAGAGTCAGAGCGGGAAGGAAAGCAGCAGAGTTTGTGGCAGTAAAGTGTGAATTTAAAGAAAACCGAAGGATTTAAGAAGAAAAAAAGTTCAGGATGACAAGGGACACTAAAATCCCCACAAAATCCGATCTTTATGAAAGTTGTAGGTTCTCTGTCAGCTGAGGTCAAGCTGTTTTAATTTACATTGATTTCTATGGGACTTTTTTCTGGGTGGCCCACGTGAATTTAGTCTGCAGTACCATGGGCGCCCCCTGCGCCCGTGGGTGGGATAGCTATAAGCTAGTAATAGCCTATCCAGTTATTATTATAGATCCATGGTTCCACCTTATAACTGGTGTGTGTGAGTGTGTATTGTGGTGCATGCCAGTATACTGTATGTGTAGCGACAGATGCTTGCTGTCTGCTCTGCACTCCTCACATCTCCAGCCCCAGTTCTGATAGAACGCAGAGTGAAGGACAAGTCATTACTCACATCATGGCCCTGGCACTGCGTCATGTCATTGACTTTATTATACAAAGGGCGCCACATACTGCAGGTGTTCTTAGAGGAGGCAACTGCTGCTGAGGAGAATTCAAATAAAATCATGTTTATTCAGTAGCATTACTGTACGTCGCACAGAAAAGTAGCATGTGCTCTGTTTACCTGTTTCTTATCGGCTCCATTGTACAAATCGAAGCTACTTGATCCATAGAACTTTCTGAGGGAATAGAGAGATCCTCATTATGGTAACTAGAAACATATAAACACACACACACACACACACACACACACATCCAGCCATATGTGACATTTGGATTTAACATGTTACTGATGAGCTCCAAATTAGGAGGCTTCTGTATGGCAGGAGTCTTCACAAAACGTGTTGACGGTATTAAAAACCTTCTCACTCACCTCCACACCCTCATAAGAAGAAATTGCAGAAACTTGGGGGACCGAGCCGTCGCTGCAACTTCACATCATTGCCCAAAACCCACCTGCTCAAAACTGCCTACACATAACTGTTTATTTTAGCTGTTATTGTATTTATTTGTGTTTCTTGTCAGAATGTCCTTTTGCAAAGTGAGTGTCCAAAAAGGTGTGATGATGATGTATCACTATTATTGTTATTATTATTGAAAACTACACCATGAGCCTTTCCGAATATGCTCAAGTTGTTTTTAGCCTGTTAACCTGTGGCTGTAAAGCTGGAGTAACTTAGCTAGTAGTTAACTATTGTTGGTTTCATAGATAGATAGATTTTTTTTTTTTTCCCCCAACAGAGAGAGTCTTGTAAAAATAGCATTATGTTAACAAAATTTGACCGCAACATTCCGCAAATGGCCTTGAGAGTGCAAAAATATATACATAGTAAGAGAACCAAAGAGTATTGAGAGCGAGGAACTAGATAGCTGTAATGTGATCCTACTCCTTATACAACAATACACACATCTAATCTTAAAAGGAAAAAGAAAAAAATAGAGTTTGCCAGTAATTTGACCTGATGATGTGACCAGATTCTGTAGAACTGCATCTTTATGAGTTTTTTGAGATTGTCCCTTCTTGTGTGGCATGGTCAAAGAACCCATCTATTTGCAACTAGAACATTTTTTCTCATATTATGTAATGGCTCTGAACACACTGTAAGGCTTGTGGAGAATAAGCTCTGGTCCTGCTGTGTTTCTCACTGCTCTAATTGCATAAGCGTGGCTGTGCAGGGGGCTGCTCTGTGTTAAACGTGTGCACCGTATGAGGCTAATGTAAAGAACAGAGGCTCCACACTGATCAAGGCTGTTTACCGAGAGGTCTTCTATGCGACGTGGGTATGCTGTGATGTTGCATGCAAACTGAGTGATTTTACATAATCCGACTGGAAATGTGGAAAAAAACTATATGCCTATGTCTATATGCAGGTATTAAGAGAGACAATCAAATGTTCAGAATGTGGTCCCATTTGTAAAGAGAGATATGTTGTTCCTTCGAGCCTGAGACTGTACAATAGATCTGTATAATATTACTATAGTTTGTAACATTTTGAATTATGTATTTATTGATGTTTGTATGGAAGGATGTGTTTCTGCTCCTGGACACCAGAATTTTTCCTTTGAGGGTTCAATAAAGTATTTCTCCATCTGTCTATTAAGAGGTATTGTGCTTTTGTCCACCATTATTAAAAAACATGTTTGTCAAATATTGTGATTGACAGGACAGTCTTGGATGCCCAATTTTGCTTTTTTTGGGCAAATGCAACACCATTTCCCAATATCTCCTTGGATCCCTTATATCCAGTTACAAATGCTATACGCTTTACTTTCAACCTCTACTAAATTGCAAGAGATTTGGAGCGAGCATCCTGATTGGTTCCAGTGCAGCCTGTGCAGCAGGAACAGATGTGAGGCTCATTGGTCTGAACCGCTGCTCTGTTAATCAGGATTCACACTCATCAAACACTCAGTGTGTGTGAAGCCTGACGGACACCTGTACACACACCTGTACACACACACAAATGGACGAGGGAGAAGAGCTAACATTAATATGATGTTGTTTTAGATAGATGTGTCAAGAAGTCAAGCCATATTGAAATTTTTTTTTTTTTTTTTAAATGACATCTACAGCTTTTATTAGTGTCGCTGGATAACAGGTCAATACAATACAATACATCATGTTTGACCTTTTCCGAACAATAATTTGTGGAATTATTCTGTATTCAAAATACAAATAGAGATGATTTCCATAGTATTTATGTTCATGCATTTTACAGAATCAGAGAACAGAATGAATCTCTCATTTGAGTTGCCAGTTTGTTAGGTGAAAATCAACTGGTCATGACAAAGACGAAATTCACACATTAAAAATAATACATTTGTTTAAATACATTATCGTACAAAAACTAAGGCCCTATCGAGGAGGTCTTCTCGATAGCTCCCAGCCTTTGTGGGCTACAACTATCCTACATGGATCAGGCTATTAAGTTAAAATATCAATCTCAAGACAATGAGCAAACTCAAGTAAGATTTTGAAGCAGTTTGGACAGAGGTATCGTTTATTGATCCATGTAGATTTCAAATTAATGTTTTGGCAGCCAAAATTTAAAGGCTACTTAAAGTAGCAAGATTTTCATGTTAAGTCATCATTAAATGGCCCTAGTGTGACAAAAGGCTTTTAAAAACTTGCTCTTTTCAAATACTTCTTTAACTGATAACAGTAAGTCAGTCGAGACATTTGAATTTCAAAATTGGATTTGCAGCCCCTAAATCTTGTTATTGTTTTCATTTCGATGTCCCGCCCTCCACCGTTTTACCAATCCGTGATCCGGGTTGTCAGAACTCACCACGTCGAGCTAATCTCACTGGTAAAGTAACATGTGGCCGCAGTACTAAAAAGGTCTTGTGACGATTCTCAAATCATTAATAAAAAAACTATGAATAAAAACTAAGATTTCGCTCGGGGCCTCTGTGGAAAAGGTGTGGGATATAGATTTGTTGTAGACAAAACTCTTGTCTACTTAGTTATTATGTTCACAGGTGGATTCGTCTGCATATCTGGCAACCTGAGTCACTGAGCGTAAGAGAGGTTGCAGTACCACTTGTTGGCCAGATTTTTACATACTGCTCTTTTAAATTAAGTCAATTTGTTGTTGGTGGTGATTTGTGCTTTTTTCTTTAGTTTGCCCTACAGACAAAAGACAATCGCAAGTATGTATACATTAACATTACATTACTAGTTGTGAAACAAAAAAACCTATTAAAAATGTAAATCCCTGGAGCAATGCACAAGAACACACTTTCAGCCAAACCCACCAATAATGGCTTGAGAGCACATTTAAATAGGCCAACAACACTGACACAACGGAAAACAACTGCTGTTTGTTTTTTTTCATATCCTTTTTGATTGCACAAACCCACCACATTTGTCCTCCACACCGCTCCAAACCTCCATGCCGTCCCCGTGGTCCTGCTCTTATTCCCTACCGTCTTCTGCTTGTACGCGCATTGTCCTTATATTTTCTGGGTTAAACAAATGAGAGTGCGCGGTCACCAGCCTGTGATTTCTCTGTTTGCCTACACCGCGTTCCATTACCCAGTACCCTTGCATGTGGCCGCGCAGGTGTGTACGTGTAGAATAATATAATTGCGTTAACCTCTGCTGCTGTGTGAATGCTGCTATGATGATAGAGACAGCAGCTCTGACAGGTGGCTCCTCGCGTGGGGTCCCCAGGGTTATTTAGAAACCACTGCTGGATTCAAATGAAGCCAATGACTGGGAAATAGTCTCATTAGCATATTGATTTAAATGCTCGTTCGCTACCTGAGGTCTTCTCAGCATAAACGGACGGCAGTGATATGAGGAGAATAGAGGGGCTACCGGGGCTAGTTTGCGTCCGCTGTGATCTTTTGCGTAGTAATTGCAATTGCCAATCCAATTCATTATTTCCTTTTGTGATGATGAATCAGAGCTACCTGGGGTGGAGAGTCTGTGGCTTGAAATATTTATTTTTTTCATTCTTGCCCAAACTACTTTGGATGTAACAATGGATGGGTTTGAAATTACGAAAGAAATGTTGAGTAAAAATGATTTGAGTTCTTAACACCAGAACTCCCTTAGCAATTAACTTGACGGCTTTTAGTTTTGGAAGTGTCATTTATCAGTATATACCTTTTTGGTCTTCATATCTTTGACTTTTTCTGTACCTATTAGTAGTTTATCATTATCTTTAAGAAATCATCAATATTTCTGAAACTCAGTCAGTGGTAGGCATTTGGCCTTTAGCAGTTAGTCTTTCAACAAACTGTTTTAGCTCTTTAAAAAGTAAAAAAAAACAATAAACATATAAATTACTTACTTTTAATATATCTGGTGAACAACTGAACATTTTTGGGTGGGTTTTCTCAGAATGCCTTTGATTCGAAAGGAAGCAGTCAAAATGTCGGCTCTGAGAGTTCTAGTTTCACAATTCTGGGAGTCCTAGTCTTAAAGAAAGAACTAGGATTGAAGCATGTGCTACCTACTCATTGCAAGAAGGTCGTGTCACCCATTTTTACTCAAACTAATAGGATTATAGCACTCTTTTCACAAGGTTATAAGTACCTATTCTGTCTGTAACTTGTTTATAGTGTAGTAATGTATTTACATGTAGCTTTTAGGATTTTTGCATGTAGTTAATTGTGCTGATGCATAACTTGCTTCATTAGAACTAATTGGCTGGTATTAGTGTGGTGGTAACTGGGACAGAGACACTGGTAGCATTAGCATCTGCTCCGGTAAATTATGTATGGAGGTTAAAGCCTTTGAAAGCATCCCTTATGATTTATTAATGTCTAGTTGCACAAAGAAAGGTGTATGGGGCAGATGCCAAGTAATGACATGTCTTGTCCACAGGAGCATGCAATTTTTTTTTTTTTTTCTGAATATGGAAATCTAAAATCAAAATAATCATCATTATTCCAACAAAGACTATGTTGCTGTTTTGCTTGAATCTTTTCAATCAAAAGTAAAGTACAAGTGCACAGTTAAACCCTGTTTACACCGGTCCTACTCTACTCGGCTCTACTCTACCTGGTTGCATTTCCATTAAAAGTTTTGGTACTGTATTCTAGCAACTAATGTATCTGCTAATACAGAGGAATTCTAAACAAGAGCTATGCCAAATTAACTTCCCTTGAGACCTAGAACTAATAGAGAACTACCAAGCGCTCTCACTGTCCTTGCTCAGACTGGGGTAACAAAAATTCAGTTAATCAATTATATCAAATGTGCAAAGAGGAGGATCTGAAGGTGTTATCATTATTGGCCCCATATTTGGAAGAGGTCACATGACTGGAGTCCAGGTTCAGGACTTGTTCATGTCTAGGTCTTCAGTCTTTCCTCTTTCTTAGCAAGACCAAGCAAGACTTCCACATTTCTCTCCTGAAATATGCTCCAAAGGCAAGTTATCTCCAGATGCAGCTTGCCTGTCACCCCAAGTTGACATTTAAACCCGATCCTTTTTGCTGTCTTCAGAATACAGAAATGGACTTTCAGAGACTTCTGACTTCAATTACTACATCAGCTAAGACACTATGATGAATATGAAATCCCATTATGATTATTATAAAACTCATTACAACTAGTATATAATCATGTTTCCTGATTTGAACAGTGTTGTACATGAAATTACTGATAATAGGAAATAGGTGATTACCGTGTGCGTGTATTAGTATATAGGGGAAATTCCTAGGTAACCATGGCTTTCAGCACTCCGGCCAATCAGGTAGAATACTCCCAATCTGGGCCGACTCGAGCCGAGTAGGGCTGGTGGAAATGCGCTCCATCTTCAGGTGCATAACAACGTCTGCCATCTCTCACAAAGATGACTATATCACTATCAGTTGTCTTGGCCTTTTAATCTGTATTATTTGATGTAATTGTGGAGTGCTTTGTGACCCTGGTGTGAACAGTGCTGTATAAATAAAGCTTCCTTACTTACTCACAATATAACCCATATCAAATGTTCCAGGATTGAGATTTTTATACTAAATATCCACCCGTTCATTATTTTTTTTGTCTGGAGTTGCTTAACTGGGATCAATGATATAATTGTAATAAGAAAGGCAACAGCCCTCACCTGGTTTTGATTAAGTTGCTCCCTGGATATGAGGAAAAGCTCTTTTTCACTAAACGGAACCATAATTGAATGCTGTCGGGGGTTGGCTTAACTTTGGCTCCAAAACACTCTCAGTGGTCTTGGTCTCTTGATGCAGGTGGCAGCTGCAGCACACTGATTTGAATAACTTTGGAAAATCCAGAATTAGATCTCCCATCCTATCCAATATTTCCCACATAGAGTTAATCAAGTTGTTGTAAAACCAGGGATAATCACAATGTTGATATTTGTGATGTATTTCTCTGCACTCTTGACGATGAGTCTGTAATATATTTTGATGAATGCATAGTCATTCATTCATTTTCCACACACTTTATTAGTACATTTCTGGGTCGGGGAGGTGGCAATGAGAGCTGCCACCCAATGCTCATAGCACCTGTCACTCGCTGATCCTCCGGCAGGTGGTGGGTCCATGGGAAGATGGCTGCTCCGTTTATGGTGACACAGCCTTGGTCTTTCAGTGGATGCATAGTCAATTGTTGTAAAAAAACAACCAAAAACAAAGTATCTAAGATCCTGCTTAACTTTTATCGTTGCGCCATAGAAAGTTTGCCTGTTGGTTCTGTGACTGTGTGGTTTGGTAAACTCACAGACAAAGAAAGGAAAGCTTGCTGTGGGCAGCTTGTTCTGGGCGTCCTTCTTTAGGAATCGAGACTTTTAGAATAATCAATGACTCTTCTAGCCACCCTGGAAAAGCCTTGTTCCAGCTTCTTCCCTCTAGCAGAAGATATCATATCGTTTGTTGAGATGCAGGACATCTCGTTTTGCTAACAGCTTCTTTCCACAAGCTGTTATTAGTTTAAACAGAGCACATTTAGTATTAGTTTAAACAGAGCAAATTTACACTTGAGTTGAAACTGTTTTAGTTGATTGATCTCAAAGTGTGTTTTTTTTTAGACTTACTTTTGGACCAGTACAACAGTTACTCCCCATACAACACATTACCACACTAACAATTCATGGTACCACAGATACAATACCATTACAACATCTTACAACACTTACAGCACCTTACAACACATTTAGCACTTTACAACACATTTAGCACTTTACAACAAATTCAACACCTTACAACACATTTAGCACTTTACAACAAATTCAACACCTTACAACACATTTAGCACTTTACAACAAATTCAACACCTTACAACACATTTAGCACTTTACAACAAATTCAACACCTTACAACACATTTAGCACTTTAACACAAATTCAACACATTTAGCACTTTACAACAAATTCAACACATTTAAGACTTTAACACAAATTCAACACCTTACAACACATTTAGCACTTTACAACAAATTCAACACCTTACAACACATTTAGCACTTTACAACACATTCAACACCTTACAACACATTTAGCACTTTAACACAAATTCAACACATTACAACACATTTAGCACTTTAACACAAATTCAACACATTTAGCACTTTACAACAAATTCAACACCTTACAACACATTTAGCACTTTACAACAAATTCAACACCTTACAACACATTTAGCACTTTACACCAAATTCAACACCTTACAACACATTTAGCACTTTACAAAACATTCAAAGCACCTTACAACAAATCCAACACCTTACAACACATTTAGCACTTTACAACAAATTCAACACCTTACAACACATTTAGCACTTTACAACACATTCAGCACTTTACAACACATTCAGCACTTTACAACACATTTAGCACTGTTCTTCCCCTTCTTCCTCTTCTTCTCCTTCTTCCCCTTATTCCTCTTCTTCCCTTCTCCCCTTCTTCCCCTTCTTCCTCTTCTTCCTGTTCTTCCACTTCTTCCTGTTCTTCCCCTTCTTCCTCTTCTTCTCCTTCTTCCCCTTCTTCCTCTTCTTCCTCTTCTTCCCTTCTTCCTCTTCTTCCCCTTCTTCCTCTTCTTCCTGTTCTTCCTCTTCTTCCTGTTCTTCCACTTCTTCCTGTTCTTCCCCTTCTTCCTCTTCTTCTCCTTCTTCCCCTTCTTCCTCTTCTTCCTCTTCTTCCCTTCTTCCTCTTCTTCCCCTTCTTCCTCTTCTTCCTGTTCTTCCACTTCTTCCTGTTCTTCCCCTTCTTCCTCTTCTTCTCTTCTTCTTCCCCTTCTTCCTCTTCTTCCTCTTCTTCCCTTCTTCCTCTTCTTCCCCTTCTCCCCCTTCTTCCCCTTCTTCCTCTTCTTCCTCTTCTTCCTCTTCTTCCTCTTCTTCCCCTTCTTCCCCTTTTTCCTGTTCTTCCTGTTCTTCCCCTTATTCCTCTTCTTCCCCTTCTTCCTCTTCTTCTTCTTCCCCTTCTTCTTCCTCCTCCTCTTCCTTCTTCTTCTTTCCTCTTCTTCCCTTTTCTTTCTTCTTCCTTCTTCTTCCCGTTCCTCTTCCTTCTTCATCCCTAACCCTTCCAACATCTATGCAGCCACTCACAATGGCTTCAGCCATTGTACCATTTCTAGTTGAGTGGCTGCATAGACTATGCAGCCACTATATGCTCTCCTACTGTTTATTGAGTGGCTGCATAGACTATGCAGCCACTATATGCTCTCCTACTGTTTATTCTTCTTCTTCTTCTTCTTCCACCGCCAGATTTTGGCACTTTTCAACTCTTCAACGCTTTCACCAAATTCAACAAATTATACATCGTTACGACCGGCTTCACCGTCTCATTATTGCTATTACTTTTCACACTTCCACATTTAGCACTTTTTCAGATATTAACAAAAGTTCAAGCACTTTTTCCCATAGACTTACATTGGACCAGTACAACAGATTACTCCCCATACAACACATTACCAAACTAACAATTCATCACCACAGATACAATACATTACAACATCTTACAACACATTTAGCACTTTACAACAAATTCAACACCTTACAACACATTTAGCACTTTACAACAAATTCAACACCTTACAACACATTTAGCACTTTACAACAAATTCAACACCTTACAACACATTCAGCACCTTACAACAAATTCAACACCTTACAACAAATTCAACACCTTACAACACATTTAGCACCTTACAACACATTCAACATCTTACAACACATTTAGCACTTTACAACACATTCAACACCTTACAACACATTTAGCACTTTAACAAAAATTCAACACATTTAGCACTTTACAACAAATTCAACACCTTACTACACATTCAGCACCTTACAACAAATTCAACACCTTACAACACATTTAGCACTTTACAACACATTCAACACCTTACAACACATTTAGCACTTTACAACCAAATCAACACCTTACCACACATTCAGCACCTTACAACAAATTCAACACCTTACAACACATTTAGCACTTTACAACACATTCAACACCTTATAAAACATTTAGCACTTTACAACAAATTCAACACATTTAGCACTTTACAACACATTCAACACCTTACAACACATTTAGTACTCTAACACAAATTCAACACCTTACAACACATTTAGCACTTTAACACAAATTCAACACCTTACAACACATTTAGCACTTTACAACAAATTCAACACCTTACAACACATTTAGCACCTTACAACAAATTCAACACCTTACAACACATTTAGCACTTTACAACACATTCAACACCTTACAACACATTTAGCACTTTACAACAAATTCAACACCTTACAACACATTCAGCACTTTACAACACCTTACAACACATTTAGCACTTTACAACAAATTCAACACCTTACAACACTTAGAGCACCTTACAACACATTTAGCACCTTACAACAAATGCAACACCTTACAACACATTTAGCACCTTACAACAAATTAAACACCTTACAACACATTTAGCACTTTACAACAAATTCAACACCTTACAACAAATTCAACACCTTACAACAAATTTAGCACTTTACAACACATTCAACACCTTACAACACATTTAGCACTTTACAACACATTCAACACCTTACAACACATTTAGCACTTTACAACACTTTTTGCACCTTACAACACATTCAGCCCCTTACAACACATTCTTCTGACCTCATCTTCTTCACTTCTTCCTCTTCTTCCCCTTCTTCACCTTCTTTATCTTCTTCCTCTTCTTCCCCTTCTTCCTCTTTTTCCCCTTTTTGAGTGGCTGCATAGACTATGCAGCCACTATATGCTCTCCTACTGTTTATTCTTCTTCCACTTCCGCCAGATTTTGGCACTTTTCAACTCTTCAACGCTTTCACCAAATTCAACAAATTATACATCGTTACGACCGGCTTCACCGTCTCATTATTGCTATTACTTTTCACACTTCCACCTTTAGCACTTTTTCAGATATTAACAAAAGTTCAAGCACTTTTTCCCATTGACTTACATTGGACCAGTACAACAGATTACTCCCCATACAACACATTACCACACTAACAATTCATTACCACAGATACAATACATTGCAACATCTTACAACACTTACAGCACCTGACAACACTTACAGCACTTTACAGCACTTTACAACACATTTATCACTTTACAACACATTCAGCACTTTACAACACATTCAGCCCCTTACATCACATTCTTAATTCATCTTCTTCACTTCTTCCCCTTCTTCCTCTTCTTCCCCTTCTTCCTCTTCTTCCTCTTCTTCCCCTTCTTCCCCCTCTTCCCCTTCTTCCCCCTCTTCCCCTTCTACCCCTTTTTCCTCTTCTTCCCCTTCTTCCCCTTCTTCCTCCTTCTTCCCCTTCCTCTTCCTCCCTCCTCCTTCTACCTCCTCCTCTTCCTTCTTCTTCTTTCCCCTTCTTCCCTTTTCTTTCTTCTTCTTCCTACATCTTTCATTTCTTTCAACTTCTTCCTTCTTCCTTCTTCATCCCTAACCCTTCCAACATCTATGCAGCCACTCACAATGGCTTCAGCCATTGTACCATTTCTAGTTCTTCTTCTTCTTCTTCTTCTTCTTCCACTTCCGCCAGATTTTGGCACTTTTCAACTCTTCAACGCTTTCACCAAATTCAACAAATTATACATCGTTACGACCGGCTTCACCGTCTCATTATTGCTATTACTTTTCACACTTCCACCTTTAGCACTTTTTCAGATATTAACACAAGTTCAAGCACTTTTTCCCATAAACTTACATTGGACCAGTACCACATATTACTCCCCATACAACACATTACCACACTAACAATTCATCACCACAGATACAATACATTACAACATCTTACAACACTTACAGCACATTACAACACATTTAGCACTTTACAACAAATTCAACACCTTATAACACATTTAGCACCTTACAACAAATTCACCTTACAACACATTTAGCACTTTACAACAAATTCAACACCTTACAACACATTCAGCACCTTACAACAAATTCAACACCTTACAACACATTTAGCACTTTACAACAAATTCAACACCTTACAACACATTTAGCACTTTACAACAAATTCAACACCTTACAACACATTCAGCACCTTACAACAAATTCAACACCTTACAACACATTTAGCACTTTACAACACATTCAACACCTTACAACACATTTAGCACTTTACAACACATTCAACACCTTACAACACATTTAGCACTTTACAACACATTCAACACCTTACAACACATTTAGCACTTTACAACACATTCAACACCTTACAACACATTTAGCACTTTACAACAAATTCAACACCTTACAACACATTTAGCACTTTAACACAAATTCAACACCTTACAACACATTTAGCACTTTAACACAAATTCAACACCTTACAACACATTTAGCACTTTACAACAAATTCAACACCTTACAACACATGTAGCACTTTACAACACATTCAACACCTTACAACACATTTAGCACTTTACAACAAATTCAATACCTTACAACACATTTAGCACTTTACAACAAATTCAACACCTTACAACACATTTAGCACTTTACAACACATTCAGCACTTTACAACACATTCAGCACTTTACAACACATTCAGCACTTTACAACACATTCAGCACTTTACAACACTTTCAGCCCCTTACAACACATTCTTCTTACTTCATCTTCTTCACTTCTTCCTCTTCTTCCCCTTCTTCCTCTTCTTCCTCTTCTTCCCCTTCTTCCTCTTCTTCCTCTTCTTCTTCTTCTTCCCCTTCTTCTTCTTCCTCCTCCTCGTCCTTCTTCTTCTTTCCTCTTCTTCCCTTTTCTTTCTTCTTCCTTCTTCTTCCCCTTCCTCTTCCTTCTTCATCACTAACCCTTCCAACATCTATGCAGCCACTCACAATGGCTTCAGCCATTGTACCATTTCTAGTTCTTCTTCTTCTTCCACTTCCGCCAGATTTTGGCACTTTTCAACTCTTCAAAGCTTTCACCAAATTCAACAAATTATACATCGTTACGACCGGCTTCACCGTCTCATTATTGCTATTACTTTTCACACTTCCACCTTTAGCACTTTTTCAGATATTAACAAAAGTTCAAGCACTTTTTCCCATAGACTTACATTGGACCAGTACAACAGATTACTCCCCATACAACACATTACCACACTAACAATTCATTACCACAGATACAATACATTACAACATCTTACAACACTTACAGCACCTTACAACACATTTAGCACTTTACAACAAATTCAACACCTTACAACACATTTAGCACTTTACAACAAATTCAACACCTTACAACACATTTAGCACTTTACAACAAATTCAACACCTTACAACACATTCAGCACCTTACAACAAATTCAACACCTTACAACACATTTAGCACTTTACAACACATTCAACACCTTACAACACATTTAGCACTTTAACACAAATTCAACACATTTAGCACTTTACAACAAATTCAACACTTTACAACACATTTAGCACTTTACAACAAATTCAACACCGTACAACACATTTAGCACTTTACAACAAATTCAACACCTTACAACACATTTAGCACTTTACAACAAATTCAACACCTTACAACAAATTCAACACCTTACAACACATTTAGCACTTTACAACACATTCAACACCTTACAACACATTTAGCACTTTAACACAAATTCAACACATTTAGCACTTTACAACAAATTCAACACCTTACAACACATTTAGCACTTTAACACAAATTCAACACCTTACAACACATTTAGCACTTTACAACACATTCAGCACTTTACAACACATTTAGCACTGTTCTTCCCCTTCTTCCTCTTCTTTTCCTTCTTCCTCTTCTTCCTCTTCTCCCCCTTCTTCCCCTTCTTCCTCTTCTTCCTGTTCTTCCACTTCTTCCTGTTCTTCCCCTTCTTCCTCTTCTTCTCCTTCTTCCCCTTCTTCCTCTTCTTCCCTTCTTCCTCTTCTTCCCCTTCTTCCTCTTCTTCCCCTTCTTCCTCTTCTTCCTGTTCTTCCTCTTCTTCTCCTTCTTCCTCTTCTTCCTCTTCTCCCCCTTCTTCCCCTTCTTCCTCTTCTTCCTGTTCTTCCACTTCTTCCTGTTCTTCCCCTCCTTCCTCTTCTTCTCCTTCTTCCCCTTCTTCCTCTTCTTCCCTTCTTCCTCTTCTTCCCCTTCTTCCTCTTCTTCCCCTTCTTCCTCTTCTTCCTGTTCTTCCCCTTCTTCCTCTTCTTCTTCTTCCCCTTCTTCCTCTTCTTCCCTTCTTCCTCTTCTTCCCCTTCTCCCCCTTCTTCCCCTTCTTCATCTTCTTCCTCTTCTTCCCCTTTTTCCTGTTCTTCCTGTTCTTCCCCTTCTTCCTGTTCTTCCCCTTCTTCCTCTTCTTCTTCTTCCCCTTCTTCTTCCTCCTCCTCTTCCTTCTTCTTCTTTCCTCTTCTTCACTTTTCTTTCTTCTTCCATCTTCCCCTTCCTCTTCCTTCTTCATCCCTAACCCTTCCAACATCTATGCAGCCACTCACAATGGCTTCAGCCATTGTACCATTTCTAGTTATCTTTGGGATCCGTGCGCACACGCCGGTTTGTTTACAGCAGCGGCCGTCTGCCGCGGGGCCGCGCCACAGGATATGACTCACTACGTTGACAGAAATGTTGAAATTGAATATTACTTATACACATTTTTACAGCATTGAAATACGTTAGGAATGTTTTTCCTCCTACAGAAACCACATTCAAATTAGGAATAAAATATAGCCCTCCCACTCCATTTTCAGACATTTTTGAAAAGGCTCCAGGAGCCACTGGAGGAGCACTAAAGGTTGCCGACCCCTGGTTTATACAGTATGTGGAAGCATACTGTAGAGGATCAGGATGTCTACAGTTTCAACAAAAAAATAAAGTGCAATAGTCTACATTACAAGAGAGTAATAAACATGTCTCAGAGTGAGGGAGGTGGACGCAGACAACACTGTTGTTTGTTACAGGGATGAGAATTGGTCAAAAAAGTCTGAAATGCATAATGTCAGCCATTGGCTGGCTCTAAATCTGTTTAATTTTTTCACAACATTTTACTTTTGGGCTCAAACATGAACTTTTAATGCAATGGGAAATTTAGGCACCCGAGCTTTAATTTAGTCGCACTTCGAGAGGAGAGGGGAGACGCGGACTGTTTCCTGCAGCGGTGTATTTATTGGGTGCACAAATTACGCAAAGACATGCATGGTCCTGTGCACGTTTATGGTCTTGGGTATATGGTCACGTTGCGGCTACGCGCTCACCGTGTTGTGTTGTGAGCGGTATTAGTATTAGATAGCAATATGGCCTACGTGCAGGACTGTACAAGGACTCTACAAGGACTCCATGTTATGACTATGATGTGACTGTCTCTTTGTGACACGTATGTCTTTCGATGTGTGACGTGACAATGACTATATAAACTGTGTACTGCCTTTATTCTGTCTGAGGGAAAGAAACAGAGTAAACCAGTGGAACTTGAGAGAAACTTAACACTAGGACCGCCGTGCTCTAAACATACCTTGTACCGCCCCCTGCGGTCAGTTGACCGCTATGTATTTTGCGCTGATACAGACTTTTGCCAAATTGATTGTTCACTAAACCAGAACTTGATGTTGCAAAGGAATCGTGATCATAATGAAACTGTGTAAATTATTTGTCTAAATATGCTAAGTAATTGTAATTCTAGCCGAAATAAAAGACTAAGACGACACATTGTGCGTAAACTGATCCATCAAAATTACGATGACTTTTCAGGCTAGATTTATTTTGTAACTTTGCAAACACCTAAAAGGTCGGTCACTATATGTTATATTTGACTCAATAACAATATGTAAATTCAAACAATATAAATTATAGTTTAGAAAAGCACGGGACCATAACGTCTTCGCGCTGCTATATGCGTCTACTTCTTACGTCATCTCCAGACTGTTTTCTTTTTAGAGGCCGAAATCACCGTGGGAAATATTATCTAGATAATAATAATATTCGTATTGACACAAGATCATCAGCTAGGCTACCATCGCCAATGTACAATCTTCAATTTTACACGGGACACGTTAGAAATACAAATATATGTATATATATTTGTACAAATATATGTATATATATTTGTATTTATTTGAGACAAGCAGTGCTCTTTATGCTCAGAACAACATTATAATCATTGCCTTGCAGTGCGCGCTGTGCGCGCTGTGCAGAATAACACACAGTGTTATCTGAATGAAATAAGAATGATATCCTTATTGATATGATGAGGGCCGCTCCTGCCACAGTCGCTCTCCTCCTGCAGGTGTCCGCGGGTGACGAGAGGATCACAGCGCTCTCTCTGCACTCTGCCTTGATAGTTCATCTAATTGTTCTATTTTATTGCGATATTGTATTCTGCTGTATTGCCTTCTTGTATGTATAAATATAATAATGTAATTGATGATGAATGAAAAGGCAGAATGGAGCGACAGCGCGCACACAGACACCTGCGTATGGCTGGCATTACGCGGGTCATGTGCGTTATTGCTTCTGGACTTGTTACAACACTGCTGTCCGTGCCGTGAATGCACTATGGGTTTACGTTCAGATTTAGAATATTATAGGTGTTCTCCCCGCTGTCACTTTCTACCTCAAAATGTGACATCTCTCACCTCCGTCAGACTGTTCTCATTCAATGTCTTGAAGCACTGTCAGGGCTTCTACCGTGTACTTGCAGCTCTATTCATTTTGTACTCCTCCCTCTCTCCCAAATAATAATAAAAAAGTCCCTTTAGAGTCTAATGAAAACATATTGATACATTTTTATAAGGCGCGAAAAACCCCCGGGAAAGGTTACTATGACAACAGTCGCCCCTGCGCCATGTATCTCCATGGGGCAGCAGAAAGGGCTGTGGTTTAAAAGTTAAAATGCGTGTAAATCTTGTTTTCTTTACTTTTTCCAAAACCAAAACACACCAAAATATAAACAACAAGTACCTAGAAAAAGTCATAAAATTTCAACTTCTGGCGTTTTGTTTTGAATACACTAATTAGCATATTAAAGTGAGTGACGGTCAGTTGACCGCTAGGGGCGCTCCTAGTGTTAAATAAACTTCCAGAGTTTGGCACACCACGATCCGTCTCTCTCTGCCTAATCCTAACAGATTTGGTGGAGAATGCGCGGCTCGGTTTGTGCCATTCTCTGGATTGTTTTGAGGGAGTTTTGCTCTGTTTCTTTTCCTCTGCGTGAGGGATCGGCATGCTGTGTCTGGGAGCGGAGATTCCAGCAGGCTGGAAGAGCTGTTCCTGGATGCTTCTTGTAGCTTCTGTCACTTTTGTTTTTTAAATTGAAGATTCCGACGCGGAAAAGAGTTGGCAGACCTCTCGGACAGCCCGTGCGCACCTCTTTGACAAGAATAAGGTAAGCAGACACCTTTTTAAATGTAAAGTCTGCATAATTGGATACTAGCTAAATTTTTTGAGGTCTGTCGAACTCTCTAAATTGTGTTCAAATAAGTGTTGGCCATTAAAGTGAATAGGATCCATAAAGTGAAAAGTGTTGGCCATTAAAGTGAATAGGATCCATAAAGTGAAAAGTGTTGGCCATTAAAGTGAATAGGATCCATAAAGTGAAAAGTGTTGGCCATTAAAGTGAATAGGATCCATAAAGTGAAAAGTGTTGGCCATTAAAGTGAATAGGATCCATAAAGTGAAAAGTGTTGGCTATTAAAGTGAGGATCCATAAGTGAAACCATGGTGTAAAATTAAAAGTAATTATAAAAAGGGAAACGTGTTAAGGAGGCCTTTGTTACAAAAGCTTTGAAATTGACGAATTTCAGGCTGATAAATGACAAAAGTAAAGAAGCAACAATATTTCAGTGATCACGGTTTAAATTACATACAGAAAAAGGGAGTTTTTGTTTTTGGAGTGAACAGAGTTCACCGGAGAATGCAGAGTTTTATCTAAAGTTGAGCTATGAGAGCTTTCGTGAGTTATTTACATTTTTTTACCGAGTTTTATCTACAGTTGAGCTATGAGAGGGTTGTATCCAACAGTTGTTTTTGTTTTTTAGAAAGAGATTTTAAGTTTAAATTAGTTTGCTACCTCGATAAAATAGAAGCGTAAACGTTAAAGACAAGAGTGCCTTTTGTTACTAGTGTGGAAAGTGATCACTTCTAGATTTGGATGACAAAAGTATAAAGAACAACATCAGTTATATTCGCTTAACAAAGTAATCTTGAAAGTTATTCTTCTGTATCTTTTTGCCTGTGTGTGCACATCTCTATCTGCTGCCGTTGTCAGGGAAACGGCCCCCTCCTTCGCTGCTCTGGCTGTGAATCTGAAGCAAAGCTACTGCTTTAGGACTTTTGGCTTTTCATAGTTGTTATTCCGTTAAATTTGCTAAATTTGCCATTTGAACATTGTGTTAGACACAGTTAAACGTTTTTAAACACCATTAGGGAATAGAAGTTTTGAATTAGTATGTTTTTGAAACCCAAAGATTAGTACAAAAAGCTTTGCTTTTCTTTTTAAATCTGCTGCTTATTTTGTGAGTCCATTATTGTATCTCTGATATATTTCATAGCTGTTTGTGAGAATTTTTTCATGTATTTTTTATTTTAGTTACAAAAGCCGTTTTTCAAACATTTAAATTAGAATCTGTTAAAAGTGATTAATGATTGTAGACTTCGTCTAAAAAAGAAAGAGGGAATTAGGCTGTAAAAGTATTATATTATTAAGTTAAACTACCCAATTCACATGCAAGTGGTGACTTTTGTTTTTGTTTTGACTACACGCCTGACCTTGTTGCTCCTGCTGATGCCACAGCAGAGGAGACTGGTCTAAAATGTGCTCCAATTCATACTGACTTCATTTGAAAAATGCTGCAATTATTTTAAATTAGTAAAATATATGCTGAGATAAATGCATAGATAATTAATCACACAGTGCAAAAGTACATAATACATATTTTAAAGTTTAAGAAGGTTTAAGAGATTTGAGTCTTGTTTTTTATATTGAGAGTTTCTGGTTTTAAAATGTTATCATTAGTAAGATAATAAGTAATCTTTTATTTACATAGCGCTTGGGAAAACCCAGAGCGCTTCAAAATTGTTTTGACTTTAGGGAGAAAAACAATCTCATTCACAATCTCTGTTGTTTTTAATTTGACTATAAGGTTGTTTTCCAGAACCAAGAGCACACACTGTACAGGGTCACTGGACTGCTGGACACTGGACAGCGCAAAGCCCACCCAGCCACAGGTCACAGAGCTAAGAGCAAAGGGAAATGCCACCTCCTTGCCCCTCCCCCCACTACAGAAGTAAGTGGGAGTGAGACCGGGGCCATGAAAGAGAGGTGTCTGGAGACGTGATGGGTGGAGCATCAGGGAGAGACCTGAATGAGAGTTGAGAGTGTGTCCAGTTGGTTTACATCACCACAGTGTGACCTTTGACACCTACAGGTGGTTCGAGGAGTCTGGAGAGACAACCCCAAAATTCACATACACACACACATACACACAT